GAACTCCTGAGCTCAAGAGAACCTCCCGCCTCGGCCTCCCAGAGAGCTAGGATCACAGGTGTGAGCCACTGCGCCTGGCCCTTCATTCATTTTTAAAGAAAGAAATTATTTCTTTTTCTTTTTCTCTTTCTCTCTTTCTTTTTCTTTCTCTTTCCCTTCCGTCCTTTTCCTTCCTTCCTTTTGTAGAGACAGAGGACTCTCTATGTTGCCTAGGCTGGTCGTGAGCTCCTGGCTTCAAATGATCCTCCTGTCTTAGCCTCCCAAAGTGCTGGGATTACAGGTCTGGGTCACTGTGCCCAGCCTTGAGAAATTATTTCTACAATTATTAATTTTAAGCATACCAATTAAAGTAGAATACGATGGTTTTTGTTTTGACATATAAAGAGCTGGGAAGTCATCACTCCTGTCCTCACAATAATGAAAAAGCCAAATAAACTGAAAATCAACAACTTAGATCCATCAGAAAATTGAGGTAACAGTTCAAACCACTGCCCTGAAAACTGGAAAGAAAGTCAAATATAGAGTCACAGCTTTTCAGTCTGAGCATGTAAGCATGAGAGATAAAAACCGCTGGGGACCTGGTCTTAAGGGACCCCAAGATGAGAACTTGGGTCTGAATCTCAACATAATGGGCGGCCACTAGAAGATTTTATGGAAAAGGATAATATGTGAAATTAATTTCTACCCATTCATGGTGCAGGCAGGGAAATGGGCCAAGAGGGGAAGGGACATTTCCAAGATCACACAGCAGGAATCCAGGCCTGTTGTTCATCGAGTCCCATGCTACATCCCACCCCTTCCTGTATTTCATCTCTAATTTTGTGCCATGGCTGCACATCACAAAACCCCACAGGTTTTTTAAGCCTCATCTCACAGATGCCTGCTGACATCCCGGGAAGTAGATGCTATTGTGACTCCCACTGGGCAGGTGGGGAGACAGAGGAGGCCCAGAGAGGCACAATGTCCTGTCCAGGTCACATAAGTTGTGAGGAGGAGGAGCTGGTCTCAAACCAGGTGGTCTGTCCCGCAGAGCTGGGACCTCGCTGCACACAGGCCTTCTGCCGGGGCTGCAGGGAGGCAGACGCAGTGTAGCCGTGTGTGCGTGTGGGGACCCTGTGGGGCAGGAGGGTGCACATTCAGAAGCTCAGGGGGGCCTGCGGGGTCTTCTTATTAGAGGAGGGGCCTCAGGTAAGGGGACCCCAGAAAGTGACTTTGCTACCTTGGTGATAGGCCCCGTGAGAATGTGAGACCCCAGTAACCAGGCACCCACATTCTAGAGACAGTGCACTTGGCCAGAGATGCTCTAGAGATCAAGATGTCCTTCTGTGCCCTGACTCCCTAGGCGGTGGCCTCGGGGAAACTCCAGAGGGAGAGCCTTCCCTACCCTGTGGATGCTGCAGGCTGTTTGCCAGGACATACCCGCAGTGACACAGGGAGGCCCAGGCAGGTATTATATCCTAGTTATTAATCCCTTGCAAGATGGGTGGTTTGCACAGAGGACTGAGCGCAGAGGACCATGGAAGCCCTTATAAGTCTTGTCAAGGTGTAGGGACCGTCCCTGGGCAAATTGGCTTAAGCCCAGAGTCAGCGAAACTGGGCATGCTCTCCTTGGCGCCAGAGGTCAATAGGCCCGGGCCCGGCCTCTTGACCAAACAGAACTATTCCTCATGACAGATAGCTTTATGACAGATAACCAAGCACCTGGGGTCTTGCAAACAAGCCATGGCATCTCATTGTCCTGCATACGGTAATGAGATAAAGAAGTTAAGATACAAGAAGTTAAGATGCAAAGTCTGCTTCCCTTAAGCAATCATCTGGAAGGAATGAAAATGAATTTTTCTCAGGGCGCCCAAGGTAGTCACCTGCCAGGAAGTAGCTGCCGAACAGAGAAAAGTATAAGAATAAAGCGACTGGTACAAATCGGGTACTGCAGTCTTGTACGTCTTGTGTGTGTGTCTGTGTGTTTCTTTCTGTGTCCATCCCCCGTTCTGCAATCCGGGCCGCGACAACTGGCACCCGAACAGGGACCGTGTCATTCAGGACGGAGGGACCGAAGAGGCACCCCTTTGGCAACAGGTAAGTGGCAACCAACAGGGGACTCTCGGGAGAATATGGGGAATTCCCCCTCAGCAGCAGAGCGCAAATATCGAAAGTTAATTCAAGGACTTTTAAGCTCTGTGGGAGTAGAAGTAAAAGAAAGTACCTTAAGAAAATTATTCGTGTTAGTACAACAACATTGTTATTGGTTTCAATGTCAGTCACAGGTGCAGTTAAATCTCCTTAGTTGGCAACAAGTTATTAAAGCTTTTCGCCATGCCCATCAGCAAGGCGAAACTATTGATTTAAAGATTTGGACCGTCTGCAATGCGATAACTCAGGCTTTACGTTTGCTGCA